CATGGGTAATTATTTAATGTTATATAATATATATATATATGTGTGTGCATGCGTGCGTGTGTGTGTGTGTGTATTATCATATAAGAATTAAATTTTTAAATATCACTCACCACTAGTCTTCACCAGCGACTTGGTTCGCGTAACTGAGACATGTTCAGTATCTAAGATAAAAAATAGGCTATATCTTTCTCCATTACAACTACGTAATAATATCAAATTTCATAAAGATTGGTCGATCGTTAAAGTGGTTACAAATAACAAACAAACTCACTTCTATATTTATGTTAGTAAATATTTCAACATTCATAACAAGTGTCTCTAGTTGGTTGAATGTGAATTTTCAACCGCTTTTTAGTCCCTGATTGTACATCTGGTCGTACAAAAGTGTATTAATGATTGAAAAAGTTAGTAATTGTTTGTAGAATTTACCCTCGGCACTTTTAGCTTAATGTTCGTGTAATGATGTTTTATCCCTTTTCTCGCGCCCCTCGGTTGGAAAACATCGTAAACTTATCGGTGACGCGACGTATGTAATTAATTGTCCAACTCTCATACAGTATGTTAAAGTTCACTTCTTTATGGTGGGGTGCCGAGGCAACCTTTTTTGGTATTCGATTTTTGTACTCGTTAAAAAATAATCGAATCATGACTCAAGTCTGGACTCGAACAACTACTTGACTACTGCACGGGTATTCGAGTACGATTGCACTCCAATATTTTATTAATTGTTTAATAAATTTACATTTTTGAAGATAATAAATATTCAGTAATTTAATATATTTATTTCTTTTCATAATCAAGACAAAAAATAATAAAATGCATAAACAGAAAAACTTGTGATAAATACACGAGTTAGTATTCGAATATGTATGGTATGGTATATATGTATAGTATTCGAGTTATGTATTTTCGAGTATTAGTCAGTACTTAAATCAGCCTGACTCGGCACATCACTACTTTTTGTTCGTTGCGTAAGCGTAGCGCTAAATTGTGTCTTACTAGTCAGAAAGTTTAATACTTTCAGTTTGTAGATGAGATAATTTCAAAGTTTTAGGTACTAATGATAATATATAATATTTTATCCGCGTCTTCTTGTGTCCGGGATATGGTCGCTGACCGGGATATCTTTGTTACAGTTAGCCTTACGTCATTATCTTATAGTTCTACATAATCCCCCGGAGTAGTATTTTGTTTATTATATTTTAAGATAAATTAAAAAAAGGCGGAAATAATGAATCTGGCTGTAACAATTTATGCATGAAAAATACCTACAAGACACATCATTTTTTAAATTTTCAATTCTGAAATGCCTGTTAATGATTCTTTTTGCAACCAATAAGATTTACTTCTGTGTTAGTCTTAGTAAAATTTTATCATCTATTCAAGTAATTTCTTTTTGTGAACGCAATATTCTAAACTACAGTTTAAGGCGTTTTGCTCCATACTGATCAACAGTTTATGATTTCTCTAATTATTCAGTACGTATGTTTGTTTTATCGTAATAAACAATAATGCTAAGAGATTTACCATTGCTAAGCGTTCTACACATCCCATTCATTGTTGGGTGCATTAGCATAATGAACGCAGCGGCACCTCTTAAAAAGGATTTCAAGCATTTAGTACACTTCATCAACATACTTGTCTATTTATCTTTACATACGTAACTAAGCTGCAAATAGTTTCTTAAGTATGAAGGCTGTTTATAGACAGGAATTTTAACGTAAGAAAAGACTATAGATTAACTTTTTTTTTAAATTGGTATAAATGGATTGGCGATGGTATCGGTGAGGAATTAGATGAGGATAAAGTCGATGTTCCGAACAGCATGGAGGTCGTTGTGATAAGGTACTTTGCTATCAGCGAAGCTACTACGAGTAAAGTCGATTACTAACAATCCCTCCTTCTGCTGCTGCAGCTGCAAGATTTACAAAAATTTATAGAAAAAAAAAACAGAACATGTAGAATTCACACAAGAAAAAGTAGAAATATTAATCATTATAAAGTGCCGTATGTTGCTGCACCTGAGATATATAATGGGAAACAGAAAATACAGCTTTGGAAATACAATATTTGCAGCTTATAATATAAGAAAAGATCTAAGGTTGTCGAAGACCGGGAATGGTTATAAAATCTAAAGCAATGGTTTGGACTGAGTACCAGATCCCTTTTCAGGATGGCCGTAGACAAAGTAAAGAACGCCATGATGATTGTCAATCTTCGGTAGGAGATGGTACTTTAAGAAGGAGAAGAGTATTCTGTATAATTGCTGGCAGTGAAAGAAAAAATGTCTTAGAATATATACTCTCGTAAATAGTGGTAAAAGAACTATTGATAGATGCGTTTTCGTTAGCGCACATATGAGAAATAACAAGAGATGAACATTGTCGTTTCGTTCTATTTCTAACGCGTGATAGTGGTGCATAATTAAACTAATTGACAAAACTTCAGACCTTTCGACCTTTGGTAATTATATATGTATAGATTTTCTATTTTAGACTATTCAAGTTGGTGAGATCATCGCATAATGGTTTACCACTTTGCTAATATTTGCCTTTAGCAATCATTTCACATAAGAATTTTATGATGTTTAAATTATGCAGTAATTCTCAAAATATAAATATCAAATAGATTTATAGAAAAAAGACAAATATACTTCTTTTATGAGAAGAGATATATTCTCAGTCTATATTATAGCATAACTATCGTCCATCGCTGGACACTAAAGAGAAAGAGAAAAAGTTGAGAGGTATTTTTTTAAAGGGCGAGGAGAATGGAATGGTATCATCGCCTGCGGTATCGTCATACGCTGGTAGGGGGATGAGTGATGATGAAAACAGATCAGTTAGCTTATCGTAACAAATTCCACAAGAACCACGATGGTTTGCAGATAGAACCGTGTAGAGGTCCCCTCTATTAGCCATCCACTATTAGCACACAATTACAGAGACTAAATTTGTCATAATTGGCTAACCGACTACCATTTTTCACTAGTGGGCCGTCAGCTTGTTTGCCATTCTAAGTTGTATGTAAAAAAAAAAATCAGCATATACCGATAGCGAAAGCAGGATTACTATTCCATTTTTATTACATTAAAAAATAAGATAACCATGCAAAACAGCCCGCTTGATTTAGCGTTTTATATCAAGTTTATCCTATCTTACGTTGGATATTATTATATGTTTTATTCCTTTACTCACCTCCGATGAAACATTACTCTGTCACCACATGGAATATAATATTAATCTCTAATATAAAATGAAGATTAAAATACGTACAACGTTATAAACAAGTTAATTAAACAAACAGTTGAGAGTAGATCTTCTAATAGCCACATCCACATATAAACGCCTACTTTACGACAACGAATAAGCGTTACTTCCCAAGCAAATGTTACATTGTGAGCGAAATAAAGGTTGATTTAGAGCTTCTAAGGACCCCATCAACGGGTAGATAGAAGTTTGCGCATCTTAAAAAGTAAATGTTTCAGATGTTAATCTGTTTATCACAATTTAAATGTCAGATTTGATATCTAATTATTGTAAACTGTAATGGTATTAAAAGATAACATAGACAGAGTCTACAGAGTGTCAAAAACACGTAAAAATGTAATCTGTCAAAGTGACGTTTAATTAACCAGAGGAAGACTTTATACAAAAGTCGTTTGGGCAACTTTGTCCGATTCGGGTTTTTATCGTGAAGCAGTTGTGTTTGCATGGCAGTTTCGATTTGAACAGGTAAAATATGATAGCCAATTTACATGTACAGAGGAATAATACCCGAGTCCTCAGGAATAAGGGGTTTCATGGACGAAACAGTATACTCTATTATGTCTATGATATTGCTCATGTCTATAGGCGACGGTTACCACTTTCCATCAGGTGGTCCGTCAGCTTGTTTGCCATTGTAAGTTGCATAAAAAAAACTATATTTTCAAATTAGCTTTACAGTATTTATTTCTCCCACATAAGTAAAGCCTATATATTATGTATTTCTATGGTATTAAAACCAATCAATTATCGCCCCCTGGCGTCTCACTGCTGGGCAAAGGCCTCCCCCAACTGCTTTCATCTCGCACGATCGTTGGCTAAGCCGTGTTATATGCATAAAAAATGTGAATTATGAATGTAAAGGAAGCGAAAGAGATCTGTTTGAATCGGAGTATTTGTCGTTCCATTGTTTCTGCCTATCCCAGAGGGAGACAGACATGACGGATATGCATATATTTATATTTGCTATGTTTTTCTTATGTATGCATAATATTTGCTAAGTTTGGTAGAAACGTAGTGTTAAAAGTAAATATTTTTAGCACGAAAACTCGAATACAGTATTGTGAGTACCCATATTTATATCTTGGGCTAATTGTTAGAATGTTTAACAAGATTCTTTTTCTATACCTCTTTTAGATCTTTGAGAAGAGAATTTATTTGATTGTAAGAATTATTAAAATCGACTCAGTGATTCATTTTAAAAATGAAACAAATATGAATATTACATAATTATAGATGAGCATAATATAAGGCTAATAAAAACACTTTGCATCCTGCTATGAGTCATGCACATATATGTATATATTGTTGCATGTTTATATAATTACATATGTAAGTAATTATCTGTTATTGAATATATTGTACAGTACATGACAATTTAGTACAATAATGTAAGTATTTAAAATGCTATAACAGATTGTATAACAATTCCCTCCAAAAAGACAAAGACATGACAGCATTATGTTTTTAATTTTTAAATTATTTATATATTTATTTCTTATTGCATTCCATTTATATACCTAGTAAAAAAAAATTTAATTATGGACCCTGTTGAGCACAGCAAGTAGAAGAGAGGAGGACAACACTTCTTTCACTTTAGAAATAGTCTAAGGATCTGTTACAATATTATCCAGTCATTGAAATTGTATCACGATAGGTACGTATTTTCTTACTATTATTATTATTCATTATTTAAGTACTGGTGTGTATCAATTATAAGTATAAATTACTTACGTCTTCTCCAATTTTTCCTCGAGCAAATATAATCTTTCCAACAGGCATTCTGGGTACTGGCAGTTTGCATTCCAAGCCCAATTTATACCACAATGGTAGTCCATTCTTTGGAACAGCTCGCACTGGTTTGGGGATAGAATCAATTACTTTCTTCAATTCAGTAGGTTTCCTGAGTGTCAGCAATGTGATATCAATGTCTGATATATTATCGAGTTCTATTTGAGACACTTTTGTAGACGATGACATGGTTTTCATAAAAAAATAAACACAAATACTATGAAATAAATATTTCAGAAAAAGTAGCTAACATAGCAAATGACGGATCGTACTAAAAATTTGGCACATTACAAGTTCGAATTTCGAAATATTTTATTTTAGTTTCTACTTGCAAGTGGCCAGTATAAAAACTTCAGTAAGGAATTTAATAAAAAGGTCATATAAAGCGAATACCAATAGTAGCTATTATTCTTAACTATAAAAATATCTTAATCTTAAGTTATAGATATATAGTATATAGTTAGATAGAAATATCGAAAATAGGTCAACATTTAGTCAGTCAACTGTCAAATTGGCTCGATTTTTTAAAAGGTGTTCTTCTACAATAAAGAATTAGCGCCGTTTTTGAGTGTAGTAAGTATTTAAAACAAGAAACCTCATAATGGAATCTATTTTTCCTAAAAGCGGTGAATTTTTTAGTAAGAATTAATTGTACTTTCTTTATTATAATAATAAAAGAATAACGATTAAATATAAAAGTAAACTTAAGTATTATTGCGAATTAAATAAATAACAATAGTGTTTTTATATTACAACCTTTACCCATTAACCTTAATTTGAAGTAATAGTTCATAATCTGGTATCCTAATTGACACACACATTGATAAAAAAGTACTAATTGATAAGTAAGTAGGCAAAGCATTTTAAGTACGATACGTACGATACATACGATACATCATTTATATAATCCAAGATCCTAATTTAAGAGTAATAAAATAATATGTAGTAAAATTAAAAAATACAATTATGTAATAAATATGCACTGTTTGTTTAGAGGAAAAGAGGCACTTAAGGTTAAGCAAAAGAGAGAAACTATAAGTACTATTGAGGCCAGAAGGGAGAAAATGTTAGGACACGATACGACGCGACAAATTTATGAACAATATAATAGATGACAAGATAGATGGAAGAAGGGACAGGAGACCATAGTTACATTAGGCAGATGAAAATGGTGTCGTGTTGTATTTTTTTATACAATAGAATGGCAAACAAGCTAACGGGAGGCACACGGGGAGTCTGTACCCAGTAAATCCACGCCATATCCCACCCTCCAAACCGAAACACAGCCATGCAAACAACTGCTGCACGGTAGAAACACGAATGGGACAGAGGTACCCAAGCAATCGACTTTTGTACAAAGTCTCCCTCTGGTATCAAGAGGTGAAGAGATTTACTGAAAATTGTAGTGAGTGGCAAGAGCTCCACTGACAAGGAATAGGACATGAAAATGACATGTTTGTTTAGACGACTACAGTGTATGGCTATCGATCAATGTTCTATGTTTAATTGTTTTTGGAATCTTTTATAGTACACACGCGAAATAAAATATATTTAACTTGAAATAAATTTTGAATCATAACAATCCAAGTCTCTTGAGTTTGAGTCTTGATTATTTAAGTTGTTTTGACTTACTATTAGCTACTCGTATTATGAAATGAATGAAATTGATTTACACCATAATCAAATAATTACTTTGTAGGTAAGTAATGAATTTGTAAGATATAATTTTGCGTGTACCTTCAATCGTTCTTGTTAATTTCAGATGTTTCTACCTATTAAGAACTTTAGATCGTATTACACTGTGGTGAACAAATAGCCTGAAGCCCTAATCGAAACAGAGTGTCTTATAAAATATTACAAACATTATCTACCTACTTGTTTTTTTTTATAGAGATTTATTGTTTAAGACAGTCATTTTTTTTTCTCTTTGTTATCTTGCTCCTATTACAAACATGAAAATTTATGACGATATTTCTCATTTCTATATCCAAAAATTACTTTTAATTTAATTTAATTAAAATTTTTGTGAATGAGATTTGGTATACAGATATTACCTATCTATGTTATATTAACACGTAGAATATTTATATACGAGGTCTGTCCGGAAAGTTCGTATAAAAGTGTTCTGGAATGCGAGAAAGAGGAGTGGGGAGGCCAGGTAAGCGCAGGACCCCTTCCTTATGTCCCTAACAATGCTTCAGTTCTGGTCTGACCGCCGTGCGTTGCGAACTGGCTTGTCACGCCATCTGTGAAGTTACCTCTTAACGAAACCCCGTCGGCATGGAGCCCGCTTCCGTTGAAGAGCAGCGCGTCGTAATCAAGTTTCTCTCGAAACTCGGCAAGAATGGCCGTGAAATTTTTGCCGATCTCAGAACAGTTTATGGGGATGATGCTGTGAAGGAACCAACCGTCCACAAGTGGCTAAAAAGATTCAGAGAGGGCCGAGACAATGTTGATTGTTTTTTTCGATGTTCGGGGGATTGTCCATCAAGAATTCGTCCCTCCAGGCCAGACAGTTGATGGAAAATTCTACGTCGATGTGCTCAGACGCCTCAAAGCTCGTGTGGCACGAGTTCGTCCAGAATTGGCGCGAGAGGGGCGTTGGATTCTTCACCACGACAATGCCCCTGCCCACACCTCTCTTGTTGTCCGTGAGTTTTTGAGTAAAAATTCCATTACGGTGACCGAACACCCCCTATCGCCGGATTTGGCCCCGTGTGACTTCTTCTTGTTCCCAAAAACCAAATTGGTACTTCGGGGGCGGCATTTGGGGGACATAAATGAGATAAAAAAAGCTACGACGGGGCAGCTGAGAAACCTACAACCAGAGGACTTTCAAGGAGCCTTCTCACAGTGGAAACGGCGTTGGCACAAGTGCATTATGTCACAGGGGGAGTACTTTGAAGGGGATAAAATTGATTTACCTGAATAATTGTAAAATAAAATTTTTAAAAAACTTTTATACGTACTTTCCGGACAAATACATATTCCCTCACGCAGGCGAAGCCGGGGTACAATTAGTTAAAAAATGTTCGGCGTATCTGCAATTATTGAATGTCGCTTATTTGACTAGCTTTTATATATGTTTTTTTCATCAATTTCAAGACTATATTGATTATTGATATATGTTAAGCGGCCTCTTCACCAATTTTCTACTAAGAAACTAAAACCCTTTCGAAAATACTCTTCTATTATTTGATTGATCTGTCAGTCCTGATTTTACAAATGTGATTTTAGTAGATACGTGGTAGGTACGCTATTTTTTTGTTTTCAATCAATTGTTATTGTCTAGGTACAAACATCTGTCGATACTGTTCTAGATTTTGGGTCTCCACAGAGTATTGAATACGATCCGAGTTGGCTTTGACGATATAGCGATAGCGCTCTCGAGATTTCGATAAATTCTAGTCACAGATCCGTGGTTAAATAACCTTTCATAGTTAGTAACTTAGTTTTAATATATATCTTTCTAATATTATAAATGTGGACGTTATCTCGTTTATTTGGTATTCATGAAATTTGGCATATACATTTGATCCAGTGCATTAGTAGGATCGCCGTGTGGTCCCGTCACCGAATGAGCTACCTCTATCATTTCTGTGAATATTGTAAGAGGCAACTAAGTAAATTTAATAGTCAAAAGATGGGCAGCAGAGTCCGACTTAAAATATCACCAAAGCCTAACTGCGGTTACCAATCCAACTGCCAAGCCTGGCTGACTACTAGCATTACCAAGGAGGAGGCCTATGTCCAGCAGTGGACAGTTAACGGTTATTTTGCACTTACAGTTATGGAAAATCCATTAACAACTCACGTAATATTGATGCAATAAAGTGTTAAATAAATAAGTTTCTGATTCGGTTACTTTTAATTTGCCCATACAAAGAAATTTAATGCAAACTTAATTTGAATATAGCTACATACTTAAGTGATTGCATTAAATAATTAATACAAACCTCTTAAAGAAAATGGCATTTCCTTTTCAACGTCGTGTCTGAGATTAATCAACAGTAGATTACGGGAACCTGCTTAATAATAATCAATTAAATACATTTTAGACGGGAATGTTTAGAATAGAAGAATAAAGGAAATCATAGACTTTTTTTTAATAAACGAAAAAGTAAGAAAGTGTAAGTAAAAATACTTTTATTATTTTTCAACAGACTTAAAAAAAGGAGGTTATCAATTCGGTTGTACTTCTTTTTATGTTTGTTACCTCATACTTCCGTCAATTGTAAATCGATTTGAAATTTTTTTTTTATCTTATAGAAATTTTATCAAAATTAGTTCAGTAATTTGTTATATAAATCAAAAGAACTGGTTTTGCCACAATTGAAGTCGGTTTTTTTTTATGAAACAAATTTTAATTATAATTAAAATTTGTTTCATAAAAAAAAACAAAATAATTATTTTGTGATAACTTTCATAAAAGAATTTTACATAATCATTTTGAGTAAGAATTACTGCGGGTTATTTTTTTTTTTTTCTATAAATAATAGAATACATAATTTAATTATTAAAATTTTGACGTAATACAATTTCGATTTGTTTTTTTTTGCTTGTTTTTCTATAAATTTTGAATTTTTTTTTTAAATAATTTAAAAATTTCAATAATACTTCTTCTTTGAACCATCCAAACCTTTTTCTAAATTATCGCCCGGAGGTGAGTCCCAGTAACTGTCATTAGATTCAGAGAATTGCTTTATCACAAAGGTAAGTGTCCGCTGCTTAAGCTATTACTTTGTTTAAAAATCATTTGATGCTTACGTCAAGTTTTACCAAGTTAGAAAAAGTGGTTAAGATATTTGCCACCTAATAGAATCCATATGTGGTTCCTTATATGATGGTAACTGACAATATCATCATCATGTCAGCCTTTAGCTAATCCACTGCTGAACATAAGCGTCTCCCTTTGGGGATTTTGCCAGTAGTTATCAAGCTTGGCAGGCGTATTGGCACCTGCTGCCATGCTTTAGAGATGTTTAAAAGGGACGCTGCTGATCCCTCGTCCTCCCTTAGCCAGCTCTTACGACACTCACGGGAAAGAAAGGGATAGCCTATTTTATGCCGGAATCATACGACCAATTAAAAATATACTGGGTTTAAATAAGTAGCTAAAGCTATGAGTTCGAATCCTGTCGTAAATGAGTTTTCAAGTTAGAATGGGAGGCTCAATTTTTTTCTATATTATATTAAATGTTCTATATATATTTCCTTAAAACCATTTATTTAATCTTCTTGAATCAATTGAAGAAGAATAAAAAAA